TCAGTTTAAAAAAAGTACACATGGTTTATCAATTATTTGTCATGAATCATTTCAAACCCAAAGATCCAAATTTCGATTCTCTGTACTTTGTTTTTCATATTTGTAATATTTTTAGCTCTGGGAATTTGTTTTTTAATCCAAAAGTAACCCCTAGTTGACATTGTGGTTCTTCTCATCACCATCTGGTTGAGAATGTCTTGATATTTATAATGAAAGGTTTGAAAGTTTACTACAGTAACTGTTAAATAATCCTTGCCTTAACAGATATTTGGCATTTCTGCTGAAGATTTAGACTCAGCGCTGGAGGAAATCTGTACCAACTCAGATAATGATGTGGACCAACCTGGAGGTATATTTTTTATATGGTTTATTATTTATTATTTTGAAAAAAATAAAAAGTTGATTTCTTTTATTTTTATTTCCTTCTACAAATTTTCCTTCTAATCTATTGCAGTGGTTCAAGATATTTCCCCATCATCAGGCTCTGTGAAGGTAATTTTATTAATTTTAGAAATTGTCCTGGTGATCTGCAAATTTAATCAAGCGCGAGGATGAAACATTTAAAGAGCTTTGATTGATACATTTTAGTCTGGAAAAATGTTTTCTATTTCAAAGTTAGAGTTGTTATAGTGAACTGTAGATTCTCTTTTTCTGTCAATGTGTTACTTACTACTCAGTACTTTGTTCTTTGCACTGGTAGCGAGGTTTGATATGTTTCAAAGATTGTTGATTTGGCTGATATGTGTGTAAAACTTTCATGCATTTTAACTCAAGGGAGAATAAAGGAGAAAGGTGTCTGGCTTTTAAACTTATATTATCAAGTTCAGGTTGAAGGTTGAAAATAGGATAAAATTGGCATTATATGGGCCAAGTCTCGATCCTCCTGTCTGAGCATGTCCCCATTGAATCTTTAGCATGTAGAGATTAAAGGTATTTCTACTCTTCTCTGGATGGGATGTGAAATAATACTGGACTGATGCATTGTGTGATAGTATTGTTAGAAGAGTGGAGATTATCTCCAGTAACCATGTTCAAGAAATAATCATTTCTATGATAAAAGATGAAAAGTTCTTCTTTCCCCATTCTTTACCAGGCTGAAAATTTACCATCTCTCTTCATTACTGATACATGTCTTGCTTTCAGGGTGGAATTCAGTTCCATATAATGTTGACAGAGGCACTGCTTGAAAGTGACACAAGAGGTGTGGCACACTTTGATGGAGTAGGTGATGTCTTTTTGGAGAAGACCAACGCCTACACCTTCTCTGGGTTTGTTCCAGGTTAGTTCATTGTTTGTCAATGAATAGTTCTTTAATTTGTAGGATGTTGGTTTTACCTCCTGTAGATGACAGCTGTAGCTTGCTATAAGGAACCCACATCCCTCCAATTATCTGTCTGTCTGTCTGTCTTTCATCTGGTCAATTTAGTGTTATCAACTGAGTTGATAACATAAATTGTCAGGGTGATGAAGGTCTAATGCTTGAAACGTCAGCCTTTAAACTATTTACAGTACCCAGTATACGTTGTCAACTCAGTTAATAACATTAAATTACTCTGTTATACTCTCCTACCGATGCTGGACCACAATTTCTTTAGAAACTTACCCCTGTTATTCTTTCATCTGGTCAGTTTGTCCATCTGTCAATCTGTATGCATTTTCATCATTCTGTTACTCTATAAATAAAGTAAGGGTCTGGCTTGGAAAAAAAAAAGTTTTTATTCCATTTCAGCTGCCCAAGAAGCTGGACCTGTTCTTATTACAGTCTACACTGAGGCTGGTCGAAAGCTGGGAATTACATACTTTATGTATGTGGATGAGATGCGGGAGACCTTAAAACAGCTCATTAAGGACCCTGCTCAACTATCATTATTCCTAACCATGTGGTCCCAGGCACATGGAATCATTGGAAGCAATAGTGATGTTGCACAGACTCTGGGTCTGTTTGGTTTACCAGACCAAGGTATGTGAATATGAAAATCATGTTAGTGAACTGTGGATTAAGAAGTGAATTTAAAAGCAATCTTAGCAGCAATGAACACTATTTGATCACTAGTGAAAATAGGGCCTGTAAAAGTATTCAGGCCTTGGCGATACGGGTACAGCAGCATTGCAAGGGTCATGGTTGTAAATTCCGTATTGGCCTGAATTTTTGTCAGGCCTTATTTTCACTACTGTTCAAGTGGTGTTCATTTCTGCAAAAATTGCTTTCATATTCATTTATTAATCCGCAGTTCACTTAAATGAATTTCATATATTCACAGTCATTTAGACCAAAGTAAGGTAAGAGTCTGTTCCTCTTTGATCTTCATCTTGATATCATGGACTTGGAAAAGACTGATCCTAGGCCATTTGGAGACTTGCTGTACACAGTGAAATAGTTACAATTTATCTAAATCAAATTTTAAAATAAAATTATGTGTTATTCACTTTTTTCTTTCACACAGGCCCATTGCCTGATGCTAAACAGGGGCAGTCTCTTAAAGTCCTTCAGCTACTTGTTTATACTGCTGCTCAGGAAGATGCTCAACAGTTTTTACAAATGATCTTCAGTACCTCTGCTGGAAAAATTGTCTTCGACAGTTACAAGGATCGAACGCCTCTGCCAGAGGATGTTGCAAGAGCCAATGGCCATGACGAGTTGGCAGAATTCTTACAAGATGTAAACAAGAGGTAATTTAAAATAATGATGATGATCACATCTTGTTGTTTGTCTGGCAATGTAGTCATATGATTTGATTAATGTGACATGACTGTATGCTTTGACTTACAAAAGTATTTTTGATTTTTATTTTCAGATTGTCAAAAGAACATGACAGTAATAGTGTTGCTTTGGGTACAAGTGACTGGTTAGAGTTAGTCCAAGCAGTTGACAATATTCAGAAACAGACTGGTGAGTATCTTATTCTTGAAGGCTGAGTTTGCCAATAGGAAGTTGTAACTATTTATTCAGGCACATGATTATCCCAATAGAGTGCAGGACTTTAATGGCCTACACACTTAACTCACTGCAAGTTCTCGGCAAGTCAGTGGAATGGTGTCAGATTGCAAATTTGAAGGCTTGGGGTTATATTTGTCTTGATACACTCATTTTTTACCCTGTCCTTCCTTACATTCCTCCATTCTTTGAAAAAGTGACAAACTAATCAGTATTAATATTGTTGAAATATGTGTAAAATGTATTTATTCCTTAATTTTTACAACAGTTTCTAATGATGAACGAGAATCATCAAGAATGCAACCTAAGGATGATGATAACCAAAGTGACTACTTTGCTGATGCTGAAACTTCTTCTTGTGGTTCCCTTGAACTTATTGGTGACTGGTCTGATTTAGAAGAAGAGAATGGTAAGTGAACTTTCTATTACTGGATACAATACTTCCACTGAATTCCTTTTGTAACCCTTTAACCGCTAAAATCTGCTTGTAAAACTCTCTTGTCTGTTTAATAAGGACTGTACACTTTTCTGTGTAAATCTTTCATTAGAATTTGGTGTTGCAGGTGTACTTCCATAAGACTCCTTTTGACTGATAAGGGAGTCATTGCCCATTACTTTTTTGCTGGATAATGTACCAACATAACATGGATGTTGCTAATTTTGCTTATGGTGTGAGTTTGCTCTGTGACTGGTCCAGAAAGCTCAATCCACCCTCTTAGCCAATCAGATGCAAAACTTAAAAACCAATCACAACATGGCCACTGGCAATTTCTTTCACTCAAAGCAGTGTGCTTATTTGTATTGTAAACTCTTATTGGCTCCATGTGATATTTCCTTTCTTCTGATTGGCTGTTGTGAATACTTATTTTGGTGGTACCACACTCAGT